TTGTATAAATATAATTAAGCGCACATAGTATATTAATTTTCACGGTTTTATTCAATTAATTATGGTGCTTAGCGAATTGTAGCAAGAACTATGTGTACCCATACGCACAATACAATTTACTTATATATACACTGACGTATACAGCTATAAATAGCATTGATACAGTGATTCCCAAAGTTTGCGCCTTGGCGCCTCGGGAAAGAATATTCGAGAATTTTCACAATTCCAGATAATCACAATGACAGGAAGCAATATCTAATTGTTACATTACGAATTACTCTGTAGTGTCATAATTCAACATCATACACATAATATAAACATAGACAGTTTGTTTCTTATCTCTACGCCTCTTACTACCTCTTTTCAACTATATACGTGTTCATATATAAACTTTAATCAGTTTCACAAATCTCAAATAAAATTATTTCTCAAAATTACTGATTTGTAAAGTATAAATTTATATATATCATACATAGCCCCAAAAAATATATTTTATTAAAATTAAAATAATAATCACAGCATTATTAGAATGCATTTGAATATTATGACATTGATATATGTATAACATAGATATCAGTTTCTTTGACCATTAAGCCGGTCGATAAAAATTCCATTTGATTCAGAACACGTTGAGGTCTCCTTCTTCCATCTAATTTTTTCTTCACATCTAATTTTCTTGCCGTCGTCTGACGCCATCCGTCATTAAATTCTCTTCCAATCGACGTCACCACGCCACTCTCCACGGTACCGACTTTTAGGTCGGTATCTGACAAAATGTTTAATCGATCAATATTAACTAGATTGCAGCGGAGATAAAAGTATCAGCCGCGTCATTTAGTAATGACAACATAGCTATCTTTTGAGCGGAAGTTGTGACATGCTTACAAAAAAAAAGACACATTTCAAGCAATAATTTTTATGTAAAAATATTAAATATTTGATTTTTGTAGTATTGCTAATATAAATAAAAAAAATTTACTTTAATTATAAGTTAAAACATCAATTGCATTCAAGTTATATGATGAAAGAATGAAACAACAACAGTCTACAAACATTTCGCATTCTTCACAATATCAAATCGCGACTATAAATAATACGAGATAATTGTTAACATATTGTTATCTCAACGCTGTGCAAAAGTCAAGTCATATTATGTGTAATGTTAAATGTCACGACAGGCAGCACCGTTGTGCGTTTTGCGGTTGATGTGCGCCCCACGTAACGTCATAATAATGTAAATTAATCTTAGTGCGGTAATGCGAGTATTATCTCGGCGCCGTTATCGCCGAGATATCGCGCGTCCGCGCGAGCGTGCGCTAGTGCGTGCTCACACGCGAGTTTGGTTTACTTTTGTCTAGCTGGCGGATAATTTAATTAGAATTTCGAGTGACGGGAGCCGCGAGCGCGCACGAAATACGTCACGGCGCTCCGCTCCGCTAATCCCACCTAATTAGACGCGCGGCGGCAGGGGGCCGCGGAATTGCCTGTGGCAACTTTGACTTGCGTAAAACTTTCGTCGACGGTAGGCAGGTTGATTCGATTATTTGTTTGTCGTCGCGTGCGACCGGCCATCCCGATGCGGACGCGAGCAGATGGAAAACTTTATCTTCGCGAGCGCCGCTCGACGAGCTCCGCCGACATGTCCAATCCAACGTACAGTTAAATGCAAGCCGATTGGAATGAGAAACAAATGAAACAGCGGACTCTCGTTGTACACGAGCGTCGACGAGAAAAGCTACCGCGGCAAGTTTATCCGACCTGTTGTTCGACTTAAACTTAATTTACCGGCGACGTGATCTTTGTCTTTATTCGCCGCATTACCCGGGCGTTACTGTTATATAAAATTACACAACTATCGTGGAATGGCAAAAAAAAAAAATGAACAAAATAAGTAGCGTACAATTGTTAAAACCATTTAAAAGCGGACGCAAGCAAGCTTTCAAAGCGCTAAATTGAATTTTGAAATAGTTTCATTATTTTCAAATCTGATTTTTAGAAGTTGCATGTTCATAAATATGTGACATTTTAAATAATTGAGACAAATCTGATGTTGGTGTAATGCGATTATTTTCGAAAGAATTAACATACAATGCGCTTTTGAAAAATGCTCAGCTCTTTTTCAACTTTAATCGCGAACTGGATTGAACGGCAAATCCGATCGCGGTTTTAACGACGAGCGCGCCCGTTGAAATGACAGGCGAGATTTGCACGTGCTGCTCCCGGCCGATAGCAACGTCCAGTCTGACAATAGTTACAACCAGTTTTGACACGCCAAACGAATATTTCTGCGTATTGTTTAAACGACGTCTGCATCTAAAGCGCGATTCTTGTAACATTGCGTTACGTGTGCGAATGCTCGAGCTATGGCATTTCATAAAACACTGTTTATAAAGCAAATAGTATATAAAAAATTAAGTATATAAAATTGAGTACAAATTCACTTAATTCATTTACCAATACTAAATTATTTCATTATAAAATTATTTTTGCACTGCAAAAATATATTTCTGTCAAAATAATTAAGCGCATAAAACTGCGGCTATGAAAAATAGCATCGGCGCGGATTGTTGCCGCCAGCTTGCGATTATTGACGACGATCAAAAGTCGGGAATCTAATCATAAATGCATACCACGGAAGCTCCCATCGCGGCTGCATCTGCTCGACTGGCCGCGAGTGAAATCCCGCTGAGCGCAGAGATGCGATTTAAATGAACCGCGGGGACTCTTCGCACGAGTTCCGGCCGACATATTGAGTTTCAATTACATCACGCGCGATAGGCGCATTTCAAGTGCATGTATGGAAGAATGTTCTGAATAATGTACGCGAGCGAGAAAAAAGAGAGTGGTCGAAGACAGACGTGGCGAACGGAAAGCGGGAAGGAAGGGAGGAAGACCGTTCTCGGTTTTATTACGGCCATATTTTTGCGCCCCGCGCTCGATATCAATATTACCATAACTTTACATTCGTAATTGGTTGGCATCGAGCCAGCATGACGTAGCCATGTTCCCCACCTTTCTCTTTCTCCCCTTTCTTCCCCTTTCACATCTTTCCTCGGACTTCATTTTTTTCCGCGGGTTTGTTCTCTTTGCCTTTCTTTCGATCTCCTTTTTTTCTTTATCGCTTTCTCTTTTTCACCCCGCGCTATCTCGCCGTTCCTTGTCACAACTCTTTCTCCCTCCTCCCTTTTTGCAACCACCTCCTGCAGCAATCCCGCGACCCCGTTCGCTCGTTTTTGGTCTTTGTTCACGACCCTGGCTATTGTTCACCGAACAATCGTCGCGTCCGGCTTAGGTGTCCAATGATGATCGGGCAACCGCTAAGATACGTGAGACGGATGCTTAAGTGGCACCCGGCCGCGTTCGTCGGCCTCGCTCGAACGCGTGGACCATGGAGAACGGAAAGGTGCAGCGTCCCACGAACAGGATGATCCTTAAAAGGCCCTCACGTCTCTGAGAAGAATAACGATCTTTTTCTCGTGGTATGCCAGACAGGAAGTGCTTCGATGAAGTATTCGAACATCAAGTGTGCGATACGTAAACACTTTCGGCATGAACGTCTTCATCGACAGGGAAGTTGATAACGCGATCGTGCTATACAGGATATCATCTCTGTGAAGTTGGCCCCCCATTTTTCAAAATTGAAAAAATGATTAGAGTTCTGGATGCCCCCCGAGGAGTTCTAGAGTTCTCAGACCATTTTAGAAAGAGTTTTGCCATTTAAAGTAAAGAAAACACCATTTGAAAAATCGGGGGCTAACTTCACGGCGCCCCCCATTATGTAAAAAATCCAAATTTTTTATAATTCTGAGTAGATTTCAAATAGTTCTATAGTTCTAGATAAGTTTCAAAAATAGTTCTGCTCGAAATACTAAATTAAATTTGAAATTCTCGTCTCAGAAAACAAAAAATAGCGAGAACTCATTCAATTTTGATTTTAGCGTTTCGAGCCTTAAGGATAATCGTTAGAACTCGGTAAGGGGCTATACAGAACTCTCAACAGAACTGCCAGTTACCGAAGTAAAAAAATTTTTTGTAGGTAC